AGCATTTAAAGTTCAAGAAATCAATATATTTAACTCATATCCATATTCAAATATTCATCTTAAATAAATATTCATGCATTAAAGATATTAATCTTATCAAAGCAGTCATGAATATAAATCAAGATGCATTTAATCAGTCCAAACTTTTAAGAATGTTAAGATAATTTCTATCAAATAGCTTGGTGACTAATTTGTGTAAAGTGTTTATATATTTAAGTACAAAATCATATATTTGCATATAATTTCTAATGAAAAGTATTTAAAGCAATCAAAATATATATATCTTGTAAGCATATATCAATGCATATACTAAATATAATGTATGGTCTACTTATAATAAGATAAAATGATGAATCAATTATAGACCTATACAGTTTAGATTTAGTAAATTTACCTCCATACTTGTCAAGCTTTGTTGATATGCTTATTTGTCTTTGAATTCTTTGTTCCAATTGTTTTGAGCAAATCTTTGATGTAATTGGGCTTGGTTGATGAAAATGTTTTGGTTGCTTTACTTGAAATCTCAAAATGAATATGGATTCATTCATGCACATTTTAAGTTTTCCTTACATAGACTTAAAAATATCTTGGCAAGAAATATTCATTAATAGTATCAAGAATACTAATTGATAAAAATTATATCAATTATTAGAAAATAATTTCCATATTTCAAGTCTTTATAGGCAAGATAAAATTTATTCATTAAGTACAAGTTGCCAATAACAAGAGAGATATATTTCATCAAAATAAATTATTCAATATCAACTTAAGCTATAGGCCATATATCATATTGAACATCAAATGACATAATTGTGACAGTAAAGCTAAAGTCCTTAAGTAATGGGTTAGCACCAACGCTTCTAAACCATATAAATAATAAGTACAAACAAGACATATTTAATATTCGAATATGTTCAAAGAAATTTTAGCACCAGAGAATATGTCAAAACAAATGTTATGCTATGTAAATTTTAAAAAAATTAAGAAAGACATATATATCATCCAAATATATTTAACAAATTTTAGCACAAGGGAATCAATATGTCAACACAAGTAATATGCCATAATCAATAATGACTTAAGGTAAAAATAAGCATTACAAAAACAAAAAAATCACTTATTTAAGCCATATTGCAAGCATGTTAAGTCAAGTTAAATCACATTTATCATATAAATATACACTTGACAAGAATAATAGATCAACCAATAATATGTTTCATTTAATATCAATTAGTTCATCATATATCAATTCATAATCACAAACCAAGAAATAAATCAATTAAGCACAAAATAAACATATTTCAAAATATATTGCAAAATCAAAACATAAATAATTTAGTGTTTCAAATCACATAAATTAAGGTCAAGTTGAATTAATGATCATATAAGCATATATCATTATATATTGACTAAGACTATAGATGAATCAAGAATCAATATATTTCTTTTAGGCCTAAAAAGTTCATTCATTCACAAACATAAAAGAAGAAATAAGTCTTGAATCAACAATTAAAGATAAAGAATTAAAGCTTTTTCAAGACTATTTCAAAAACAAAAAAATAAACAATTTAAGCATTTTCAAGAATCAAGTATTTTTACGATATAAGTATTGTATCAAGAGATAATTTCATCCATATAAGCACTGGATGATTTATGAAAGTAATGAAATTGAATTTCAAATATAAGAAATAATAATTCAAGCACTTGAAGCAAATTTTCAATTTTAACCTTGTGGTTAAGAGACGAGTTGAAAGTCATGTAGGTATGAGTTCAATCCTGCCATCTTCCTTCCCCCCTTATAAAGGCACTAGCCCTCCTTTACAACAAAAAAAAAAAATTTAACACAAATAATTTTTCCAAGGTAGCATTAAAAAAATATAATCAAATAAATATTCATAATGCATACCCTTTTTAATCTTAAAAAAAATCATTTTTAAAGAATTTTTAAAGAAAAATTTTGTTGTTAGAAAATAATTTTATCAAGTTAATTAATTTCTCAAAACTAATATTGTTAAAATTGTATTGAGTCTAAAATAAATAAGTTCATTTTAAAAATAACAATTAGACTTTTATTTAAACTCAAAGAAATAAGCTTTAAAAATAGTTTTGATTCGAGAAATACGAAAGCATTAAAAAAGTTTTAAGTTTTATAGAAACATTTTTCAAATCAAATAATATTTTGGAAGACATAATATTTATTTAGTACCAAAATAATATATTATAAGAATCATGTAATAAATAATTTTTTCAAAGTCCAAAATCATTTTTCAAAATATTTTTCATTTCAAATATCACTAGTATTTATTTAGAATTAAAAATATTATAACTTAAGAACATGTACTAAATAATTTTTTTTTTTAAATTTCAATCAAACTTATTTAATTTAATGTTTTGTCATTTCAAAATAAAGATTAATTCAAGACTATTATTAATTTTTTAAGTTTTTAGTGGGTAACTATTTTTGTGGGACCATATTTTGTTTTTGGGTTTTTTTTTAATAATTAATGTATTTTTTAAACTTATGATTCACTTTTATTTTTTTTTTTAGACTTACTATTCTTGTATTTTTTTTTCTAAACTTGTTTAGGTGTCACTTTTTTTTTATTTTTTTTTTTAGTTTCATAAATATTTTTTTAGTGGAGACCCACTTGATATCAATTTCCTTGTCATTTTGAAATAACTTAATTAATCTATTTTATATTTTAATTTTTTAAACCCACTTGATACCAAAAGTATCTTACATTTTTTTTTCAATTTTTCCTTTTTATATATTTAATAAATAATTTTTTATATTTCAATTTTTAGTGACTTACTTGTTATCAAAGGTATGTCATGTGTTCAGTTATTTGATTTTTTTTGTTTTTTAATTTTTTTCTATTTATAGCTTTTCTTTTTTTTATTTAACAAATATTTTGAAATATTTTGAATTTTTTTAATGTTGGGCAAGTTTGGTATTATTATCAAAAAAAATATTTTCTGTTAATTTTTTTTAATTTGATAATTTTTAAAAATGAATATTAAAGGAAGTGTCAATATTATATCCAAATTTGAATTTTTTTCAATTCTTTCTTTCTTTCTTTTTTATTTTACTTTTCTTTAAAAATCCATAATATAAATTTTTCAAAAAAAAAAAGTCATTGTTGATGTGATGTGCCAACCTAACTTTAGTTTTCACTTTTTTTTTATTTAATAAATATTTTGAATGATTTTTTATTTTTTTATGTGCAGCGTCAATTTTATATTATAAATGAAAAAAATTTTGTTACCTATTTTGTGATTAGATATTTTTGTGAAAAAAAGATATTAATGAAGGTGTGAATTTGGCATCTAGATTTAATATTTTTCCTTTTTGGGTTTTTTTTTTAGTTTTATATTATAGATAAGTTAAATTAGAAAATTATATTTTTAATTAATAATATCGAAGGCAAAATTTAAAAAAAGATTTATTTCTTTTGTCTTTTTAATTATATAATTTTAAAAAAATTAACATATGTTTATATGTTTAACCCTATTTCACTTTTTTAGCTTTTTGGTTTTTTTTTTTTTGTTTTTTTAAATCAAATAATTGACAACAAATGTAATTAGTAAATTAATTTTTAAGAAATGTTAATGAATGTATGAATAATAAAATAGCTTGTAACCGATGAATTTTAATTTGTCCACATCTAATAGATGCATTTCTTATGTGGATTTTTTCACCAAAAATCAAGGTCAAGTCCAATACAGATTTGTTGTGTTCTATTTTGCTTTAGCTATGTATTAAAAAATATTTTTAATTATTTATTTAATTTTATAATTATATATGGTATAATATGAATGAGGTTATTATTTAATGCCCGGACTTGCCATCTTATTTCTTTTTTTCTCCTTTTTGCTTTTTTTTTTTGCTTTTCTTTAAATTTTTTTATTTTTTTAAAGGAACTAATGGATAAAAATGACAATATAATTTATATCGATGAATCTCCACTCAATTAAAATATCCATGTATATCCCAATGAGCTTTCTTTTTTTTTTTTTCCTTCTTAATTGTGTTTTTCTCTTTTTTCCTTTTATGTTTTTAATAAAACTTTTTTTTTTTTTTTTGTAAAAAAACCTATGAATGTGCCTACATGCACCCCATTTTTTTTTTCATCTTTCATTTTTTATATTTTTTTAATTAGATAAATTTTGAATAGCTTGTGCCAATTTATAAAGGTCAAAATAACTCGTATCCTACAAATTTTGATTTATCTCAATCTTATAACGGTGATTCTATTTAATTAAGATTGAGTTAAGTTGGTTCGAGTTTTTTTAAAGAAAAAAAGATTAGGTTCAAAATGTGTTTATAATATTTTGTCTCGATCCATTTTTGAGGTGTATATAAAACTAAATTTTTATTATATATTTAATTTTATACATATACATATTTATTGTATTAATAAAATATTTTTTGTCTTAATTTAAAAAATTTATATTCCAAACTCAATATAATATGTCAAAGTGACATCCTCTATTAACTCTTTCTTTTTACTTATTTTTTGTTTTTCTCCACTTTTTTGTTGGCCGTTTTCCCACTTTTTTCTCTTTTTTTTGTATTTAATTTTTAGATTAATTTTATGAAAGAAGAAGGCAATTAAGATACCCATATTTCATTCCCATTTGTTTTATTTTATTTTTTTAATTTGATAAATTTTGAAAAAAAATGATGAATAGATAAGGCATAGCAAAATAATTTTCAATTGTAACTAAATTAAGTAATTTAAAATATAAATATGATAATAAGACAAAAAATGATACGAAAAAAGAGATAAAAATTATACGGGTTAAAATTTAAAAAAAACATATATAAATTTATCAAAAACATAAAAATATATTTTGAATTAATATAAATTATCATACATAATTTTTATATAAAATATAATATAAATACATAATATTTTACTATTTTATACTATATAAATATATAAGTTACTACATTTATCCGTTACAACATATGAGCAACTTTCTGGTACTAACAAATTCGAATAGAACCCGATTATCATAGGACATCAAATCCTATTTAGTCGGGTCGGATTATGAGGTTGGCAATAACCCCGCAACAGTGCGGGCCCACTGGCGGAAGGGATGAGCGGGTTTTTAGCGTTAAAAACTGATTTTGCGTGGTGAGATAGCGAGATGCTCAGATGGCCGCTTTCCCAAAGTTGAGGTGGGGCGAATGTGAAGGTACATGCTGACATCCTCAACCCTAAAATCGGTGGCAACTTTTATTAGCAAAAAGAAAAAGCTGGGGAGATTCAGAGAATTGGTATCAATGTCGGTAATGGAAAACCAAACAGAGGACAAAGTCTTTTTTCACTATAATCACACCGACTCCTGCAATTCTTCAAGGTGGACTGCCAGGGAGAGCTTCCAATTCATGTATGAGCGACCCTGGCAGGATGTTGTCGATTTCTATTCCAATGTGGTCAACGCCCGCTTGACCTTATCCAATTTGTTCGGCAATGGCGCTCAGGTGTCTGTTTCTTTCCAATTCAATACTCGTAAATAAATAAACAAATGTTCTAATTATATGGGTTTTTTTCAATACATTTATTTATTCGGCAAAGTTTTGATGGCATGGCAGACATGTATTCATGTTGATGATGATTCTAAAACATTAGAGTATTGTGATGAGAAGGCAGAAAGGAGTGGCAGATGGGGAAGAGTAACATTCAAGATAACTGTTTCATACAGTGGAGGTGCGTTTGATGGATGGCAGAAGCAGCCTGGTATGAACACTGTGCAGGAGTAAGTTGTTTTTTCTGTGTCAACTATCAAGAATTTCTGATTAACAAAATCAAAAGTGAAACAAAAATTTATCTCTTTCTTTCTATAAATGTGATGGGTGTGCTTCCTTTTAGGATCCTATTTTCATTCTTACTTTATTGCACTCTACAGAATAGTTGAAAGATCTCTTGGGAGATTTGTTGATGAGAAGAAAGCACAACTTTTGACAGCAAAATCTAAACCACTGGAAGGTTGTGCCGTGGTTGCTGGGCGCACTGACAAAGGAGTGTCTGCTATTCGGCAAGTTTGTTCTTTCTGTATGTTATAACTATTTTCATCAAAGATTCTTGCTCATTTTGTCTACTTTGAATTGCTCTTTTCCTGATGCAAGTCGTCCCTTTTCTTTTCTCTTGCATTTGCTACTGGATGTTTTGCTTAACTTTTCTTGTTTCCCTTTCACACTGATGCTACTTCTCATGTTCAAAGTTTTCTAAGCTTCTTAATATGTCCTTATAAGTTTTGCTGCTTCTAGTATCATTCTCTCCTTAATAGACAATTTTAAGACAGAAGGAGCTAGGTTCTAGAATTGTTGGAGATATATATGGATAAAAAGCATCATGTAAAACTGAGGAAATTATGTGTTTTAAATTTTAAAGTAATTGTTTTCTACCGCGCTCTTTTTTTCTCAACAATACATGTTCCATAAGATCAAAAGAATATATATATATATATTATGTGTTTTAAATTTTAAAGTAATTGTTTTCTACCGCACTCTTTTTTTCTCAACAATATGTGTTCCATCAGATCAAAAGAATATATATATATATATATATATATTGTATGTTCAATTTCCATTTCCATTTTATTAACAATGAAAAAACTATTAATATTCCAAATTGGCTTCTATTATTGCAAGTAATTCTGCTTTGCAGGTAATTGATGTTATACCTTTGTTCTTTGTTCATAATAAAGGGCCAAAAGACCAGAAACATTTTCGAGTTGACTGTACTATTTTTGAGTAAACAAAGGCATTTTTTACTCTCATGGGTCAACAGCATAAAAATAGCTAAGAGAGAACTTTAGCATTACAAAATTTTCCTATTATCTACATTTTTGTTATGAGTACCATTTCCATTTTATTAACAATGAAAAAACTATTAAATATTCCAAATTTACTACAATCATTGCAAACAATTCTGCAAAGCAGGTAATTGATGTTAAACCTTTGTTTTTTGTTCAAACAAAGGTCCAAAAAACCATAAACCTTTTCAAATTGTCTGTAGTATTTTTGTGTAAACAAAGTCATTTTTCACTCTCATGGGTCAACAGCATAATAGCTAAGAGAGGAAGTTAGCATTACAAAATTTCCTATAATCTACATTTTTGTTATGAGTACCATTATAATTGAATCTCACCGCCATCCTTGTCTTTCCTATCAATAGGTGATTTTGATTTGTTATGAAAACTTCCTTAACATATTCATACAAGGTTCAGTCAACGCATTGTAGGAGCTTATGACTACTGTTTCTAAAACTTTTGGTTGCTTCATCATTACCTCTTATTACATTGTATATATGTTTTTGCAAAACTTGGTACATTAATAATTGTTGTAATAATATAAATTCTTAATCATCCTTTCATTCGCTCTTTCATAGCAAATAATGAAGCAGTCTAGTTTGTAAGACATCTGATTATTGAAATAGAATATGTTCTGGTTACGCTTACTAGGATTGTATAAATTGTTTTCTTGCATCTTTCTTTTTCTAGAGTTGTATCTCATGTTTCTGCCACATTGTTGTTTTTATGTTTAGATACTTGGAGAAAGGATGTAAAACCTTGTGATATTGAGGATGCGATAAATAGTGTAGCACCTGGAAAACTCAGGGTTGTGTCAGTTTATGAGGTAATAGTTGTTCTAACCCAAGGGGAGAAAAGTTCCCTGATTACAGCAACTGCAAAGGTTATATATAATAATAACTTCTATATGCTTATAACTATTGTTAAATTATTGTAGGTTTCACGTGTATTCCATCCTAACTTCTCTGCAAAATGGAGGCGCTATTTGTATATTTTTCCTTTGAGTGATCAAGAAATTGAGAAGCAAAGCTGTGGGAATGAGAAGGAAGTCGAGAATTTTAGTTCTGATGGAAATTGTGAAGAGCCAAGAAATGGGTGTTTTAAAAGCATTAGTTGGGAAAATGTTGAGAACTTAATTATCAGCAATAATAATAAGGGGCTTGAGGCAGCAAACAAGCCAACCAGATTCAGTGTATGCAGGGTTAATCAGCTACTACGGAAACTAGAAGGAAAATTATTATCATACAAAATGTTTGCACGTGATACCAAAGCGTCTAGAAACATGTAAGAACCAAACAAAGGTGACATCATCAAGAAATTCATAGTTGAGATAAAGTAATGTCCATTGGCATACTCTTGTTTCTCTGAATCTATCAAACATGTCTGAATCTTTTTACTAGTATTTTAGGTTTAATTTATACATAAGCTTTGGATGTGGTGGATGAACAAAGTTGAAAATGCGGTTGATATCCTGATCATGTTGATTAATCTAATAGACAATAGGCAAAATTGGTTACTAGCTAAAAATCCTCCAAACTATCAGTTTCCCATTCTAGCAAAAGTCATACAAAAATTTACTATCGGTGGATTTATTTTAGTGTTTCATATATATCTATATATCTATATAACTATATATATATATATATATATATATATATGAATGGTGTAATTGATGTTATGTCAGTCTTTTTTCTCTTTTTCATTCCCTAAGGTCTTTTTGCCAATTGTTTAATATAATTTGTTATTCTAGTTTTATTGGATGTATCCTAAAGAATTTGAGTTAGTTCACTATGACCAGTGAACATTAGTGGGATAATATCTTCAATTTGTTGATTCATAGAGTAGACATAATGTTATTCCCCTAGTTAAGAAGGTATTTTTCTTGTATTTTTTTTAATGACAGTTCTACATGTGAATATTAATTTCAGAGGACCACAACGGAGTGCTTTATGTACATGCTCGAGCTGCAGAAGCGAGATTTACCCTGTTCTGTAAATGTCTCTTACTGTTATCAATGTTGCAAACTCTTTTTTTGTTCTTCACTTTTCTCCCCTGAGAATGAACATGACTTCAAGTTAGTTTCCATGAAACTTAAAAAAGATTTTGCATATAATGCAATTAGATGTGCGGGCTTTTCATTTGCTATTTTGTTGCTACAGCTTCATCTCATGTTCAAGGTTAGCCTGGTCCTAGGTATTGTCTTATGAATAAAACTGAAATGTAACTTTCGAATACTTAATTCCAACTTTTTCCATTTTGCTTGAGTGATGAATAATTATTCCAGACAACTTTTGAAATGGAAGGAATCCAGTTAAGTTGATTTAAGTTGGGCTTGTTTTAAATCTTTGCCTACTTTGTTTTCTCCCCAGCTTTGCTTGCTTTATATGCATGCTTGTATGTGTGCATTGTGCCTGCATCTAGTAAGAGCTGATCTTTTGTTGTTTGTTTGCTTGTTTATTTTCAGGCTGAAAGGTCTATTTTTTGTATTACAATTGTACTCTTTTATGGATAATTGCAGGTTGTAATACTGTTTTATGGATAATTTTAATATTAGAATGGAAAAATTACCTGCCTATGTAATATATTAAACAACTAGAAAATGTTTTTCCCAGAGATTCACTCGGTAATGTGGGATAAATAAACTGTTACGGTGTATGAGTGTAGCTTTTAGCTTTGTTGAGTTTGTGTTGGACCTTTATAATTTTAGCCTTTTCAAGTCTTTTAGTGCATCCAAATTTTCCTTGTTTCTTTACAATGTTGATTCTCATTTATACACGAGCATAGTAATGCCATCACTAATAAACACTATAAGTTTGGATGCGTGTTTTTTCCTTTAACTTTATGATGGGATAAATCTGAATTTGTTTATTACTATTGACATCATGATAGGATACTTTTGTAGAATCATGGGAAGGAAGGAAGTTATGTGTGTTGAGCTGGTTGCTAATAGATTCCTACGTAAGGTATACACTTATATGCTGCTTGCATGCTTACATGTATTTTTTTTTTTTCCAGAATTTCAAATTATATTGTTTCTAGATTTCCTAGTCATGTCTTGTTTTGCCAAATTAAATGAGTGATGTTAGAAAAATATGAACCCATCATCAATTTCCGGATGGGCAGTCTATATTTCTCAGGTTATAATAGTATCTACATTGTGTTGTCACTGTTTCTCCTGCTTGCATTCTGATGGTACCCAACCAAATATAACAGATGGTTCGTGTGGCTGTGGCAACCTCAATAAGGGAAGCCGCTGCCGGAGCAGAAGAAGATGCATTGCTAAAACTGATGGAGGCTACCTGTAGACGGGCCACGGCACCCCCTGCCCCCCCTTATGGGCTATGTCTTGTTGATGTTGGATATACTGAATTTGACCCACAAAATTTTCTTATACGTTAAGGTATGTTAGCTCAAGGATTTACATAGTTTAGTTTGCAATATGAAGTAGCTAGGCACATAGAGTTAAGAACTCATAATTTTAGATTACTTGGGATTTCCAGAGAGAAATAATATCATCTAAGCATGTAAGAAAATGTAAGCATAATTTATTTTCTTAGCCCTACGATAGCTGTGAACTCGTTCTTTAACATGAATAGCTAAAATTAATATTTATATTTTTTTATATTCGATGCCTTCTGGTAAAATTTCTTAAGTTGTTAAAAAGAATTCTCTTTTTCTTTTAGCCGTTTGAAATTTATATTTTAATTTAATTAATTTATACAATAATTTTTAAGAGATGATATTTAACCGATCGAAATTTCAACCTTTTGTTAAGAAAAAATTTTTTTTTTTGGGATAACGAGACTTCTAATCCAGCGAGATAAATGCCAATGATTCCCTTTGTAGTACAAAAAGGTGAATTAAATGAAAGTAACATAATAAACAGAAAAGATTTGAATTTCACCTAATTAGATTTCACTTTCTCGTGAAATTAGATATGTCAGCTTTTGATCATATGCTTAATTTTAAAAAAAAAAAAAATGTTAAATGCACAGTTACTCAGGCTATCACAGTAGTTTTCACAGTACTCCTTCACCACTAGGCATATAAAAGGAAAAGATAATCTCATCTCAGACATGCTCACAAAATCTCCTTCGAAACCTCCTTCAAATACTTTTTAGATTATTCCAGTTATTTCCATGATGAACCTAACACCTTCTTCTTCACAAGCCTCTTCTTCAACCAACCCTCTTTTCCCCTCTTCTCAAAAACCTCACCTTGATGATGAATTTGATCTCCCTGATAAATTTCTTAACCTTCCAGTAGAAAATCTTCCTCCAGAGTTACCCAGACTTCTTGCCACTCAAGCCCTTGACCAAAAAGCTTCACACTTTTTATTCAAATATCAATCCAAAACACTAAAAAAATTTGGAGACACCTCTTTTCAATCTCTTGGTATACACCTTAATACGTCAACGGAGTTTAACAGTTTTACTAGAGAAATTATTAAAAATCTATCGTATAATCTTTTAGAATATATTTAAAAGGTTTAATAAATTAACATGCAGAAAAATAGAATAATTTTTTAATTTAGTTTATAAAATTTAAAAATTCTAACAAATGTGTATGGGATAATAAGTTTTTCTCTCAATAATGACTAGGAGATAATTTGTCTTTTTATTATTTACCTCTTTCTTTAATAATGGCATCAACATCAAGTACGAATTTTATTGCAATTACGCATGGAAGACGGTATCTCAGATTTGACAAAAGCTGCTTGTCACGCGAGATTTAACCTTCAATTCTCGTGATTTCGAATTTCGAACATTTATTTATCTTATTTTTAGATTAATTCGATTATTATTATTCATATTTTTATAAAATATTATTTATTTTAATTTTTTTAATTATATGATTTTATCTTATAAAAAGTATCTAAAAAATAATGATATGAATTATTTTATATTTAAGTAATTTTTATTTTATATTCGATGTGAGATTCAAAATTTTTTTTTAGGTCCGTGACATTTTTTTCACTTAATCTCGTGACGCTTTCGTCACGGAGACTGATCACTTTATCTATCTCTTTTGAGGGGTTTGACATAGATTGAACGGTTTAGGATGACTTTGATATCACTTGTCACGAGTCGAAATTTAACTTCTGAATTCACATGATTTTGGGATCCGAGTATCAACTCATTCGATATTTCAAATCAGTCTAACTGCACGATTCATATTTTTATGAAGTATTATCTGCTCTGACTCCTTGATCATACGATTTTATCTTACAAAAAATTTTTCATAAAATTAAGATAATGTGAACTCTTATATATCTTGATAATTTTTTTATCATATGTGAAATTTAAAATTCTTCTTTAAATTTATGACATTGAGCTAAGGTTAAATGTTCAGGCACGCACTCCAGTACCTTACATTAACTCTTAAAAATTGTTGAACGTTGAATGTTTTTACTTTCTATAGATAAGACTCTTTTGCTTTACTCAACTGAAATTAGATCCACTACTATTAAATTTTGGGTACAATTTTTCCATTAGCGTGCCACGATTGTTGACTGCGATATATTTAGCCTTCTACTTTTCAATAAATTTCAGAGTAAATTGCTTTTTGAATCTCTTAAATTTCTTAGTATTTTCTGTTTCTATAATCAAATTTTGCAAGCTAATGTTTTAATTATCGACACGTGTAAAATGTTACTGTTTTAATTACTCATTTGTTACAAAATAACTATCTTTCAACAGTGGAATTTGACATTTTATATTATTAGATCTTAATCAAGCGACAAAGCAGCCGACGCAGATTTGCCATTTTATCAAGGTATAGTGACCTGAAATGCCAAGTGAACAATAATATTTATAAATATAGACTACTAAAATGTTATTTTCCAAAGTTTTGCGACTTGGTCAAAATATAATTTACTCGAAATGTTACGGAAGAAGTTCTTAGAAATCTATTGAATGTTAGGTTTTTCCTTTTAGAGACGTTTGAATGTCTGTTGGTGCAGTATAACTTTGTTTGGATTTGATTGCTGATGAATCTATTGGCCACTGAAGGGAAAAAAATAAAAATAACAAATAGCAAATTAAATAGATATTATGAGTATGCAAACATTTACATGAAAAAACAGAGTGCAGTGCAGTCTTAATTACTTATGAAAAGTTGAATAAATGGTGAAAAAGGTTTGTGCCAGGGTGAGTAGTAGGAGAATCAAGGCAGCCAATGCTGATAGAAAAGACCATGGAGTGTTAAAGTAGGTATACTTAAAGCTCGCCCATTGAACATGCCAGCTGTTCTTATAGTACTGGTTCACATCATCAAACAATCTGGACAGATAACAGATATCAATGTCAAATGCTATATCCTTACCCAGATTGTTGATGAATCGTGCAACCTCTGCATCTGTTCCAAAATAATTCTCCAGGATGTTGCGGTCGATTAGGTACTCGACATCCTTGTAGGTGTTCACAAGGCAATCCAAAAGAGTAGCATAAGTAGTGAAGTGTTTGGAACAACTACTCTGGCATTGCTCGTATGCCACACAATTCATCAGAAAAGAGCTCATGAAATCATCAATTGTAATTGTTGGCATTTCAATCACTCCTCGCTTGAACTTCACCACCAGGAAACTGTCTGCCTTTCCTGGACTTAGCTTGATCCCGGCACGGCGGAGCTTGGAAACACAATGGATGACATGGGTAGGTGTCTGACCCCTGTGTGGTTCCCCATGATCTGATGGAATGAAGCTCATGCGAACCAAGTCAAGCAAATGCTTGCTTTCGAGATCATGGTACTTGGCAATGTCCGCATCGGATCTGAGCATTGCATTGTTAAAGAATTCCAGAGCAATACTAGACAATGATGGACCTGATTCCTCTCCAGGCATTTTCGTTAAATCGAACAAACATTCAAGAATAAAGTAGGGGATTTGATTTTCTAATCGAAGAAGATCTCGGTAAAAAAATGCTAATATCCATGCCATGGAGAAAAAAGGATCATCAGGTTGAATCTTAACCAATCTCCCAACTATGCGGAACAACTCAATAATGAAACAACCATCAAGAACCATCATCTCAATAAATTCACTTGAATCGAGGTGGATAGCTTCTGAATAGCAATCTCTGGCTTTCATTTCTAGAGTGTGGACGGCCTTGAGTAAGTCTTCCAAGCCTAAGCCTTTGCTTTGAACCCTTCGAGCAAAGACCCCAGATATCGCCACTTGTGCTCCTCAATCATCTTGAGCTGAGCCCCGCCGCGGTTGGTTATGGGCCTATGGACACGATTCGAGGCTGGTAAGACCTTACCGTTGATTTCAACAAGGCTTTGGGGAAACCCGGAAGATGCCAGCATGTTCTCCTACCAGGTTGCTTTGCTCGAGAGAAATCTTGGCGGATCACGGATTTGCTTTTGCATAGCAGCTTAGACGATCGTTTGTTTATTTCCGCATACTTTTATCACCTGTTGGTTTCTTCCTCAACCGTTTTGGCTTCCCATCTCTGTCTGGAAAATTCTCAGACCCAAAAAAAAAAAAATGAACAGGATACGGACTTCGGAGCCTGGGCCCTACCAGATTGCTCAAGAAAAAAAAATCTACTGGATTTGGGTTCTTACAAAGGAATGCTCCTCCACCTGCTTTTAAACCTCACAAACAACAATTAACCAAACCAAAAGTCTGTGATAGCTCCTAGCCTATTAATGCTTTTATATTTTATCTGTTTAAAAAGTTGAACACTGAACAGACTTTTTCTTTCCCATTAAAAATGGGCAACCCGCAGTGCCAGTTCATGAAGATATCCAAGTTTAGAGTCATAGAATTTTATTATATTAATTATTAATAATATTTTTTTAATTGTATTTTAAAATATATTCAAAATATTAATATAAAATATTTATTAATTAAATATCATCTCACGCGTTCCCGCAATTTTTAATTTTTTTTCTTCAATTTATACCATAATAGTTTAAGGTTCATATAGAAAGATAAACTAAACATATTTAATATGTTTTAAAAATGTACGTATGTAATCGCAAATCGTTCAAACATTTCTTCAACATCAAAGCATGGAAACAGTCAACATAATATCATAAATGTTTGTTTCAAGTATTTAGGCTGCTAACTTGTTTCATTGCTATGGGGATCTTCTTGAAATGTTGTTTTAGGCATGCAAACCTGTTTTATTGCCGTAGGGGTCTTCTTCTTGAAATGATTGGAATAGTTGTAATCAGTTTACAGTTAGTTGTCTTTATGTATTGAATTTGTTATTTAGCAGTAAGTATTTAATGAAAATATGTAAGTGATTTGTTGTTCATACCTTTCATGTAAGATTTATTAAAAGGTTTTTTTTTTTTTTTTTTTCATTCTTGCTAAAAAAATAAACAACATTACCTTTTTAAAATAAAATGTTTTAATAGTAGCGTGCCTTGTTCTCAGTTTTTTGGCCGGTAATTCCTCATAAAACAAATCAGTTGGGAAACCAGTATCTTTGGGTGAGTAAGATGCATTCTCAATCATGACTTTTTTCTCTATATGTTGTTTAAGTTTTGGTGGAGGTAGCATCAAAATGGGTGATTTAGTTTCCATTTCTTCATAATTCTATTTAACCCTTTTAACATCTACTACAAATTTCATTAGAAATGTGTTATATATTATTAATTTGGTTTATCAATTCTCATAT